TGTTTTCTGGCCTGTGTCTTTAAATGCAAATGAGCTGCTGCTCCCCGCCCCCTTTTCCAGAATAGAGCTGGGCCTTTACAGCTCGTATCTGCTAAAAACATCTGTTTTGGTTCTGATTATCATGTTTATCACGCTGAAATCATGCGTTTTAAACCATATGAGTTTAAACTTAAATATTTTAAAATATTTATAAAAGTTTAAATAAGGTTTTCTGAGAGCACACATCCGAAGCACAAGGACAGAAAGCTGCTGTCACAGCATGTGAGTACTAATCCAAGTTCTCATTCACACACAAGTTTACGTTAAAAACACACGAGTTACAAAAACAGTCGGTTATGTCTGTGAAGGTAAACAGCTGGGAAATAAATCGCTTGTTTATGTTAGATCTGTGTGGCAGCAGCAATATACAGTAGCCTAAATAAATCAATAAATCCACTGCTCTCGTCTCCTCTGAGGCTGGGACTCTAAATAGTGTTCTGTGCTCGTCTGTGCCCCCAAAGACAGAACAGTTAGCATGTTTTGCTCAAACTTTCGCCATGGCATTTGAACTAGTACACCGTTGTCGCTTGCGAAATCAAAATGACGGTGCCTTGAGTGGAAGTTTACAGATTAAGGGGCGGTAATATTATAATGAGATCCCTTTACCACATCACCAAGGGAGCGAAATCAGACGCGCTCGTTTTCTCAGACGCTTGCAGAAAAAGGCTTACCTAAACAAAGTTACTGGGTTAATCTTTTTCACGTTTCTTTGGTTGGTAGATGATTATAGCACTTAAAACCTGGAAAAAGTCAGATTTTCATGATATGTCACCTTTAAAATCTTGAATAAATAGTAAATAAACATTTTCTAACAAAAAAGAAAATCGGACCTTCTTTTCTCTGTAAATCAAGGGTGCACACTATTGCTGAAAAACACAATCACTACTTATCAGTCAGATGTCCGTATGCAGAAAGGCACAGATCCCTAAACAAGACCATATCTGCAGATTAAGCTTTTTTTTGTAGTTGCATTTTTTTAATTTGAACCAACACCTCATGTCTACACCACGTTATGTACAAGAAGTTGCAAAAGACACAGGCGCAAGTAGAATGTACAAAACATGGTGACATTATTTTTTTAAGTAAATATAATGGGCGATATATTGCGTCACCAAAATGTATTGAGGTCATGTACATATATTGCGCGATAAGTCTATATATTGATTATTGCGACAGGCCTAATCACATTATCTCCTTAAAACTCATCTAGGCTACAGCCTGTGTCCGTTTCTTCTGGTTGTTGTTTCTCAATGGGTATAAAAGGCAGAACATCATGCATTAAAATGGCAAACGGTATCAAAGGTCTGACATATCAGACGAAAACATTTCTCAGCTCAGCTCAAGCACACCAGAACTGACTACTATAATATTTTTTAATGACTTAGATTCTGTTTACTTTAGTTGCTTTTAGTTGAATGTGAGTAAATTGATTGCTAAACACCAACACTGTAGGAAAAATAATACTACTCTGAACTATTTGTTAGCAAGTTCACGGCGTGTTTTGAGGATTTAAACCTTCTGTTCTGTTTTACTTCCTAAAGTAAAGCCTTAATGTTACAAAAATGTTGGGTGTCAAGCTGCATAAATGCTTTTAGGTCATGCTTTTTATATAGCTATATATCTTTGCCTAACATAGGCAATGCTAAATATTACCCAAGCAAATGCTCAAATTATTAAAAATTGCTAATAAACACAGGAATCAATGGAGTTTATTCTTAATTGGCTCTTTTACCAAAACCTTTCTTTGAATTCAGACAGTCTAAAAGAGTAAAAGCCCATGCATTTCAGAAAAGTTGGCACTGTCCTTTATTTCATTTTAATGAGTCTAATAGTGCACCAAACTCGTTTCAAATATGTGACCCTGTTTTAAGTCGCTGGGGTATATTTGTAGCAATAGCCAAAAATACATTGTAAATCAAAATTATCGATTTTTCTTTTATGCCAAAAATCATTAGGATATTAAGTAAAGATCATGTTCCATGAAGATATTTAGTAAATTTCCTACTATAAATATATTAAAACTTAATTTTTGATTAGTAATATGCATTGCTAAGAACTTAATTTGGACAACTTTAAAGGTGATTTTCTCAATATTTTGATTTTTTTTGCACCCTCAGATTCCAGATTTTCATTGTCCTATCATAACAAACCATACATCAATGGAAAGCTTATTTATTCAACTTTCAGATGATGTACAAATCTCAATTTTGAAAAATTGACACTTATGACTTGGTTTTGTGGTCCATGGTCACATATGTGCTTTAACATAACCCAATCTCTCCTAAAACACACGTACATAAAATATTTGTAGTTAAAAGGGCTTATTCACTCATCCCTGTGTGTATGGCACTAGATTTAGAGGTTTGTTTTGTGCTATCTAGGGCTCCCAAATCACACAGATTTTGCAATTTAGAAATGAGAACGTCATTTAGCTTGAGTTGACTTAACTGTGAAAACAGGTTGGAATGTTTTATTACACAGACTGAATGGTGTACTTTATTATAACTTATATGCAACTGACAATTTCTTGCTACGTTTATCCTGTGTAATTATATTTTCTATTGTAAATTAACATTTTCTTAATTTTAGTTCTAAGGGGAAGAGTATATTGTAAAATCATGCTCACTCATACTAAAACTAAGAAACTCTAAGGGCTGGACACAATCTGCTTTTCAGACACCTGCAGATCTGGAGTAAACAAGAATCGTCACCCTTTGATGAATGGTTTTGAATAAGCACATCCATGTGTAAATAAATATGAGGTTGACCGTTTATTTCCACATTACCGATTATTTTTTTCTTTTGCAGCTAAAACTACAGTTTCTTTTAAATATTAACTGTCTGTAAACTTCTTTTAAGTTGTGACTGTCTACCCAAATCTTTGTGTGTGTACTGTGGCATATGCAAGTTTTTCTTTCCCTTTGTTTAGTCAGTCATAGTGGGTTACTATCCCTCAACAAACTCTTGATTGGTCTGTTTGTGCGGTAAGCCTGCCATGTGGCAATGATGCTGACATATCAACAGCTGATGCCTCAAGAGACCCCTCATTACTTTAAAAAGTGACTGTCTTTGAGCGCCAAAAAAAAAAAAGAGTTTACAATGCAAGACATTTTAATATAAGCCTCTATTGTATGAGTCTTTCTTATACACTTAGATACACTTTCATTCTATATTTTGGGCGTCTCTTGGCAAAACGCTGCAGAAATCTGAATTCAAAATCGGGTAAGGGCAAATTATAAGCTTTATCGAAAGAACTAGCTGACAACCAATACAAAAAAAAAAAAACTGACAGCACTTATGTAATGTATTACAACAGTAATTATGGTGATATGAATATTGAATGAAAATGAAATGCAAACATTTAAGCATACTGAACTTAAAATGTAAAATGTTGTTTCTGTTACATTAATAAAATCTATTTTTGTAGACCTCCAATATGAGATTCATATGGTATATTGTACAGCAAAAACGTAATGCCTACAGAAAAGACTGAATTACAACTTGCAGAGATGTGTAGTAATGTTACGGTGTTTTATCTACATTATCCATGGTAAGATTAATTTTGAAGATATTAAACATGGTTTTAGTAAATAAAGCATAACAGATTTCAACTTCAAATGTTTTTGACAAGGACTGTATTGCATTACAACTTTTAATTATATTTGGCTTATAATTCAACAATAGTTATTTGTGGGCTGTTTATGATTACAATGTCTGTTGCCAGTCTGTTGAAATGATCATAGACTGTGATAAAACCAAAAAAAGTCACCAAAAATAAAAAGTACAAAAACAAAATAAACAGTCCATAAAAAATTAGTAAAGGAGCCAAACTTACAAATACTTGACCTGACCTGTTCTAGTTAACAGCACACAGTCAATATTGAGAGGTAGATGGATGTGTTGATCAGACATCTTTTGTTAGACTGCATTTTGAGCTTGAAGACATATTCCTCTGAATTCAATGAAGGATTTACAAACTCCATGGGAGTGGGCCAGAGATGGCAAACTACTATGAATAGGCTGCCAGTTACAATAGCACCCCATTTTTATGATCCTGTCGTTGAGGTGCAGATATAAAAGTAAAAGAGCATGTCTCTTTAAACAAGCAAGTACATATGATTTTAGAAAATGTTGTGAAGTCAGTTTCTCAAGAATTATTGCTGGTGAATCCTGCCTCAGGTCCATGTGTTCGGCTGGCTCCGTTTGACTTTAAAAATTTAGTGCACTACTGGTGCACTAAATAAAAAAGGACTGTTCAGTGACTTTTTCCCTCTCACTGAAGTTAGATAAAGTTTTAATTGTAGTACCTCCCTTGTCTGCTTGTATTGGTTTGTTTGGAGTTGCATTTAGACTGAGTTTGTGTAACTGAGATGGGCTGTAGGTCAGCCCAGGGATCTTGGAGCATTGATGGTTTGTAATATTTTTCCATATCATTTGTCCCTCTCTCCCTGCCATGCGCTGACCCAAACGGTGTGGATGTCCGTGGTGAACCCTTAAGAAGAAAATTGTCATGCAGAAAAACGTTAAAACGACCACAGTTACTCAAGAGATTGTATAGTAGTGTCCAAACCAACAACAACAAAACAAACGTTCATAGATCGCAGAAATGAATTCGGATTAGAGCAGCAAAATACCGCAGAGAAGTGAAATTACAGCACACAAATGTTTAAAACTCAAACTGCGCATTAGTATTTTAATTTGGCCCTGAACGTGAGTGAACTACCTGATATCCAGAGTGTCGTCTGGGACTCTCATACGGCGAGCGTCTGAACGGTGCGCCGCGGGGACTGGGGCTCGATCTGCGCGGGGTTTGAGCCGGAGACTGACCGCTAAAATACTTCCCACCACCACCACCGCCGCCGCCTCTGTTACCACCAAACTCTCTCGGTGGGGTATTGGGAGAACACTGTCCAAATCTAGGTCCAAACGGCGCCGGTGGGGTTGAAAATGCCCACGGAGGCGATGGAAACATACTCCCTGTCCTGTCGAAGGCTGGAGGCGGGCTGCGGAAGCCTGCGGCCCGCGGACCAGAGCCCTGGCGGGGATGGCGAAACTGTGGTCTTTGCATCGCGTCCTGATCTGTTTCCCAAACCTCAAAATACGAGTGTATTTACAACGTGACGCTCTTAAACCCGTTTTTCACTTAGCATAACAAAACAACACGACCCGGAACAAGAAGCGTCTCTCAGCGATTATCATTTGAATAGTCAGTGAAAGACTCGGTACTGCCGCCTATTCTCATGGCGCGTGAAGCGACCATACACGCATTTAATCATCGAAAGTACCTCTAAACACCAACCATTTAAGAAAAGTTTCAGTGTAGTTCAGACACTCGTTTCTTCGAGTATATATTACATAAGGGGGTATGTGCTTTTGGATGCTGGTTTTTCTTTGGGCAACTAGCTTTATTTCAGGCGAACGCTTAGGGTAGAGTGGAGGAAAATGCCCCCTACTGTCCCAAACTTGGGTAAAGTTGGTTTTATATTCGCACATTCACAATATTCACACATTTCCGCGTTCAATCACTTTCTAATTATAAGTGCAATAAAGTAATTTTTTTGCATATTCTAATCAGCGACATCGTTGTCAACCTACTTCATTTTTTTCACAATCGATCAAAATAACGATACATTTGCAACATCTCTGTTTTTCTTCATAGAGACACCGACCTTCACTTCCAGTTCAATAACTTTTTAAAAGAGTCTCACACTGTTACAAAACACGTTTCTAAATAATTATCTGACCCTCTTCAACATATCAGAAGTATTAAAAGTACAAGTATTTGCTCTAAACGATACATTTGCAACATCTCTGTTTTTCTTCATAGAGACACCTACCTTCACTTCCAGTTCAATAACTTTTGAAAAGAGGCTCACACTGTTACAAAACAAGTTGCTTGTAAACAGGATTTAGGTTGCCGTTACACACACATATATATATATATATATATTAACACACAGTAGCTTATATAAAAATGTTACATCCCAATGACATCACACCTCAGTTCAGTAGATGGCGGTAGTGCACTTCGTTTGCAAACTGCCAATAAAAAAACAGAGAAGAAGAAAAACAAAGAAGAAGTTGTTCTTTGATGACTTTAGTACCATGGACAGTAATCGTTGCAGGCTGTCTCAATAGAAACATGTAATTTGTAGATAGTCCCTCAGATAAGCGATGACGTCACGACACTCCATAGTGGTAAGCGTGTTTATCAGCTTCTTTAAAACGTCGAGTTCGACAGAAAAATGTGTTCTGATATGTGCTCATAGTAGTCGGCAGTGATACTTGACCGAGAATGGCTTTTTTTAATGCAGATTAACAAAGTTATTGAACGCTGAAGTCCGAATGTGCGAATATAAAACCAACTTTACCCAAGTCTGTCCCAAAATCCCAAAATAACCGATAAAGTCGAGATACATTTTTATTGTAATATGGACTACGTTGACAAGAGTGATGTAGAAATTTTCACCATGAACCTTGCACTGGTGATGTATCTGAGAGAAAACGGATTTCACAGTAAATTATCTAATTTTCGCCAGTAAGAAAAAAAAAAGTGATTTAAAGCTTATTGTTTCGTAGAAAATCACAGTTATATTTTGATATGAGAACAGTAGGGCCTGTAGGGAGTAGGTACGTGTTATTTAAGAAAAATATTTTCAGAATTACATTATTTTTTTTTCTCAATCATAGTCCGTGGGGTAAAACACCCCAAAGGTACAAATACAATTTTTGTTAAAAATCTAATAACATGAAAACTCTGGACATTTTTCATACTTGGTTTATAATTTATGTCATTGTCACTGAAACTATGATAACTTTTCTGAACACATTTAACTTTTGTTTCACAGAAAATTGCACAGACCTTAAGGGGGGTGTTTTATCTGATCAGAATTAAATTGCATTAAAGAAATAGCCTACTTTTGTGTCCGTCTTTGCTTTTGTCAATATAATGAGAAAAACAGCTACAGTTTTTTTTTCTCCTGTAGTCTAATTTTTCCTCTCTCATTTCATTCCTCTGTATGTGCTTTTCTCTAACATGTCTCTATTGCATACCAACACATTAACTGAAGTGCAGTGCTTTGTATGTAATATTTGTCTAAAACCTGCATCAAATGTAAAATTAGGAATATGCCCCGGGAAGTGCATGGGAATTTATTGAAAGCAGTGTTTATCTCTTTGTGTTTTATAAAGATATTTGTGAGAGCTATATCACTGTGCTTAACTTTCTACAATGTAAATAATACATTTTCGAAATTGTAAACAAAAGAAAAATTACGCTATTGGAGTAGGCTATATATTTTACAAGAAAATAGTATTCAGTTTTTCTACTTATAAATGTCATGTGTACTTTCCATTTGAATTATTTGTGAAATTAGCAATTTCTGAGTGAAAATTATTTGAAAGTAAATATTTGAAAGTGTGTTTGTGTGTGTGCGTGCGTGCGTGCATTGGAAACTAAACGGTTGTTTCTCTTCAGCTGTCAGTAGAGGTCAGTGTAACCATTACTTTTTACACAGCTCGTTTAGAAAATAAAGCAATGAGCAGATTAATGTGTGTAACGAACCTTTGCACTAAATAAATAGCAAACCATAACATAAAAAAAAAAATCCCTACACTCTCTGTGTGGAAGGGGCCAGGGTTCCTGTTGTTGTGAATAGTCCCCTGTTGAGGTCATGTCCCTGTTTTATTAGCTGTACTTTTGAAAACAGATCATAATTCATCAAAGACAAAGTTTTGTGCTTTCTGCTAAGAGGAAGGAGGAATTACGCTTTCCCACAGCACCAGAGTTCTGATTCAGGACTGCTGATGGATTGAGTTCTCAAGCATGTTTTCTTTTAATACATTATTTTGTTCATTTCAAAGCTCTTGTGTCAAAGTGTCATCGGTGGAGCAGTGTTTGGTTTTGCTATTATTTAATTTGGAAATCAGCATGCCGAGAAAGTGTGGCCTTAAGAGGCAATCTAAAGCTTGAGACATTACATTTGAGAATTTCCACTAGGACTAACGGCTGCAGTGAGAATACATGGCATTAGAATTTTCTAATTGTCACTACTAAGTAATTTTGGAAAATAATATAAGTTGTAAATCATGGTAAATCAATGTAAATCATGGTGTTAGTTCATTTGGATGCTTTTTTTTTTAAGATAATTTTTCAGGGTTAGAAATTTCTCAACTCAGATATTAAGTTGGCATACCAACTGCAGTGTTTTTGTCCTGCCTGAGAAAGACAAAGATGACCATTAGTGGGCTAAAGATCAGATGCAGACTTGACTGGAATGGCCTGAAAATTGAGTCTGAAATTAACAAGCAAGTACGTGCACACAAAAAATGCAGACTGGCACATGAGGCATGCTTTTGTTTGCAAAACGTGGTGAACAAAATGTTTTATGGGAAAAAACTGTGTCACTGAAAGGAATAGGCCATCTCATTGAGAAACAATGTGGCACTCAGATGAACCGTGTTCTCACTTAAGTCTCCCAGGCAAGTGACCTATTTCCTCACACCCTAGATTTTGCTCATGTTCTAGCTCTCCGATTCCCATGTTTACTGAGTTCCCAGACTAACTTTGTCCCACCTCAAATGCCCCCCCCATCATCCACTCACTGGAGGCTGGTCACTTCTACAATTTTCTTAGTTTACTGTTTTTGTTGCAGTCCTAAAAATACCCTGAAACCTTGTATGTTCTTGTTATGATGAGAGTACTCGAAACAAAATGTGTGTTGGGAAAAAAATGTATACCACATTTAGTTTTGCTCCTTGAATTGTATTGGTCAGCTGCATTCCATGAGTGCTGATATACAGTCCATCCAGTAGGTGGTGATAGATGACCATCTTTACAAGTGAATCATTCATTCAACCGATTCTTTCAAAAATGAATAATTCATTCAGGAACTTATTAGCGGTCTAAAATCGAAATTTATTTAAGAGTAGGTATTTCTTTTGAATATGTAATTAGGCCTACTTTGCAACCGTTAAAAAGTATGTTCTATATAGTGTAAATTTAATCTGAATTTACAACATTTGTCCTGTTGTAATTGTTATACAGTGGGTACGGAAAGTATTCAGACCCCCTTCAATTTTCCAGCAATGTTTGTGTCCAAAGTGTCCATTGGATGTGCACTTAAGTATCTTGCTGAATATATGGAAGTATGCATATTCTGATATAGCGTTTTATAGTCAGTCATTGATTTTTTTCAATCAAACGATTCTTTCAAAACAGTTCTTTTCATTCTGTGAGTTTGTTTAGATCTAGTTTCATTGGCAGAGCGAAAATAGAAAAAGTAACTGTCAATACTGTGTAAAAAGATATATTTTATATTAACTTATTGTTCATTGATTTGTTGTATAAAAAATGTCATGCTGCTTAAATATATATTTTACTAGTTTGCAAAAAATATATAGGCCTATTTCTCATGTGCACTTTGCTTCTGAGTCTCTAGAGGTCATCTTTGCTTTAGTTGTGCTAAAGAAAAGCTCAATCTGTTTTACTGGACCAGTGTCTATCCTCTCTCAGTTTGGAATTTGTTCATGTCTTTAGATCCCAAACTAAAAGTCAGCTGCAATAGTGAAGATCCTTTCCAACTTTCAGTAAGATCCATGAAAATCTTGCTCTTGGCATTTGGCACATCATGGAGAAGATACCTGCTAACTGTTCAAGTGATCATGTCCCAAATATTTTCCCTATTTATATTCTATTATTAAAGCCATGTTAGGCCTTTTGTTCATTAATGTTTTTTGGGATATATTGGCACTAGTTCATGGACCAAACTTGAGGTCAGTTGTTTGGGAATGTGTTAGAGAGAATGTCTTGTTCCTTGTTGGGACATGCCATTGGTCTCGGTACATCAAAGGGCTGAGCAGTACCTCTACGCAGAGGTATCTAGAGTTCAGAATCTATCAGCATCAGTATACTCATGCTCTAATAATCAAATCTTGTCATCTGGCTTCATGCTTTGATGGTCACATGCTATTCCCACCCGCTTCTCTCTGGCTGCTTCATTGTAATTCTTTATGCCACTTCAAACTTTGTTGTTTGAACTGTTTGGGACACTATGAACAATTGAATACTCATTGGCATGAAAATGAAGAGCCATCTCTAAACCTTTTCACAGTCTTTGATATAATGTTCCATCTTTCTTAGAATTTGGTGAATGGGAAAATGGTGCAGTGTACTTATATAACTAC